GTTTTCATTTAAAGATTATGGGAATGATGACGTTTACAAAGACGGAAAGGGTTTTATGATTTGGTTTACTAAAAGAACAATGGGCAAAAATGTATGGACGCTGCACCCGCGTTCGCCACGGCTTAAAGTACATTTGTTTGAAAGGTATTATAGTCAAGATCATCTGTGCCAAAGCGCATCAAATTCCATCCCGGGGGTCTTTAGTTATTTTAAGTTAAATATGTACAAGTACTATAACGAACGAACATTAATGAAACAAAGGAATTAATTTAGTTAGTTAGTTCGACCCTACATAGTGTGCACAGGAATTATGGGAGTACTTCACAAGGTGCAAGCATGCCCCCTTATGTTATTCTGCCGCGCTAGAGTAAATCCAAAAATCCCCGCATGGGTTGGGATTTTTTTAAACATTCTGTTCGTTATAGTAAATTGTCTTCTATGTAAAACGGAGCGACCACAGATTACACAAACTTGTCCACGCTTCGGAGAACACATGATTACAGTTCATCCATACTAATTGACAAAACCGATAGTCGTGTTCCAATATCCAAAGCGTGTTAGTTAAAAATCAATCAAATAGGAGGGAGCGCACAATCACAACGAAGTAAGACGAGTCGACTATTTGCAACTGCAAGTCCTTCAGCATCCGTAAACCGTTTAGAATTGTCTTAGTAAGAGCAAGCTCAGGATGGCCGGCAGGCTTTGTCGTATATCTGGCTGTATAGTACGATATAGCATATTATTATGATTACTAATAATATAAAATGAAGGTATTATATAATGAATTTATTCAGCTACTTAAATATGCCCATGAGTCATATCTAAAAAAAAATCTATTGACTACCACGATATTCTTTACGGTGTCATATCTTTTGACTCCCAGGATATTTATTTTCGGTGTCATAATAAAAAAGGCTAGTTTTTCATAGATCTATCGATTCATACTAATAACATTGTTGGCGGAGCTGGGTGCGTTTTGCCCATTGTCCTTTAAAAGAAGTTTAATGATGTATATATAGAACGCAGTGTTAAGTTTATAGTAAGTAGGACTGGTCGAAGCCAAAGTGGTCATTTGTCAAGTCGCCCTAGTCAGTGTATGTAGTGTGTGACTTGTGTGTATTACGTTTGCTCGCACACGACGGTGATCGATATACGCGTCACAAAGTAAGTAATTTGAGCCCCAAGCATTCGCAACTGAGAGAGTACCATTACAAAAGGAGAAAGAATATTTCTTCACCATCCTGAGAACAAAATACGTTTTTATACAAGGCCGGATGTTTAGTGGGGTCTAATCATACGTGGCAATGATACCCCACGTTACTGGCTGTACTGCTGTGAGACGTATTTCCGAACCCGTTGAACCCTGGAACTGTAAGAGGGCCACGGTAAAATAACACTGTGTTATTTTGCCGTGGCCCTCTGCAAGTGGGAGGATAAATAATATTAATCTATATGCAGTTTTCACTTTAATTCCAAAATCTAAGTGATAGTTTGACACAGTTAGATTAAGGTAAAAGATAATTGAGGGATTACTTAAATATTTTATTACCCTAATATACATCGTGTGAATACGTCCGAATCTGTGGTAGGCGGACTCGTGAATAATTAACACGAAAGGCAGGAGCACCTCAACCGCATTTCGGTCAAATATTTTTATTATTGATACTACAGGGTGTAGCGTAGCATTCATTGCGGTTCATTGTCCAAGCACCTCAGTTTCAGGTAGATAACTTTTTAAATATTTTCCATTATAACCACATCCAATCCACTGATGATTTAAAAGACTCGTTAGCATACAAGGTCGCCAAAGTAATTAAAAAAACCTATTTATACAATATTACGCAATATGCCGTAAATGACAGTACAAAAATTCATATCAATACTAGCGGCCGCCCGCGACATCGCCCGCGTTATCATTAGTTTTTTGAGAATTCCACAGGAACCTAACATATCCCGGGATACACAAGTATCCTATGTCACAGGCAATAAACTATATGCATACCAAATTCATTACAAACCCAATCCGTTCAGTGGTTTTTGCCTGATTGAGTAACAAACATACAAACTTTAGGATATTATATTATACATAATTATCCAATCAAAAATGTTTCTTTCTGCTTTATTAGAATATATTGAAAGTAAAATGCGAAAGCAAGACTCTCCAGAGCAGATACCAAAATTTGCAAAAGACGTTATGCATGTTATTGCTCGAAATATTTTTTATTATTATTACTATACTGTATTTCAATAAAATATTAAGCCTAAACTAATGCACTGTATCACCATTTAAATTATATTCATGGGTATTATTTATATATTATCTCAATAGCTCCATTTAAGCTCTGAAATATATGTATGTTAACAGCACAAGCGATGTTATAGTACAAAAATAATGTTAGTAGGGTATTTAAGTTGTAAATTTAATAAGATCGAGAATCAAGCCTAACATGGTTTTGTTAATATTGTCTGTTTACAATTTAAATGGACTACATATCGCCTTTAATCTGTTTTGGTATGTTTAGTAGTTAAACAAGGGTTCACGATAGGGATTTGTGTACCCTTAGGGCTTTGTATACGTCACATATCCCTTGTCTCGGAGATCTGACTAAAATCCGTGCCAGCTCAACAAAATGCGAACGAAAGAGAAAGAAACATGTGACTGTAAATTAAAAGTAAAATAATAAAAAGAATATTGTGTGTAATGTACTGTCGCGCAATATTTTTACGGTATTGCAAAGTATCGCATGCGATTAATTACATATCATATACATACAGTATATCAAATCAACAACTACCACGTTTTGCAAATGGTTGAATCTTTTGATAGGGTTGGCCGAAATATCGATGACTGCGATGAATGTCTTTTAAAGGTGACGTTAATGGTTGACAATTTTTATTAGTTAAAAGGTAAATAAAATATCAGATAATTTTAATGGTTGAAAATATCAGTTAATATTTTTATTCAAATGCAATATCTGAATATTTTTCACAAGTTGATTAATTGCCAATATTTTTATTAGTTCTGTTCTGTAGTAGTGATTAAAATTATTCATTAAGATAATTTTATCATTCTTTTACATTTATCCATCGAAAAAATATTACTCTCGTGTTAAAATCAACATGAATGCATATTTTTATTATAAATGGTTGAAATTTTTTTTAGAATATTTAGTTGATAAATATATTCAATGACACTAATGCCTTTCACCTACAATTAGTCTCAGACTATCCTCTTTATTTTTATTCAGTGCAATGTGTTATTTATATATTTTTAACATTATTTTAAACGTAAAGCCGGTCAACACTTTAAAATCAAAATGCTAATTGATGTCACACAAACCTTCAAAAATTTTGTAATTAAAATTACAACATCCTTATGTAAATTATGTGGCAAAAACAACGCTAGTTTTTAATATCGTTGGGCAAAAACTTTTCATCTCATATGGAGTAGGATTCACCAAGAAACAAACAAGAAATAAAAGGCGCGCGGGCGAAAATTATGGTTAGAAATAACACAAAGCGTATTAGAGCTCGAAGTTTTTCTTCTTCTCTGAGTTTAATTCTGTGATTTGCAGAATAAAACAATAGTTTAAAAAACTAAAAACACGCTTTTATTTACTGAACTAAAAAGCCAAAAATAAACAAAATATAAAAGTATTTTACAATTTTTTTCTTACGCTGGTTAGTATGAGTGTAGGTACCCTATATAAAAATATGTCAACTGTACTGTAATGACTGTTTAAAATTTACCGCGTGCAGTTAAATTGACTATGTCCAATGTGCATGCATGCTATGTTGCGGTCAATATACCAATTCTTGAATTGACTATGTTATAGGTATTAAGAATGCAAAAACCGGCCAAGTGCGAGTAAAACTCACGCACGAAGGGTTCCGTACAACAAACCGCAAAAGGAACAATCATCTGCATGTTTTCGTCACAACTTACAAAGTACATTATGAATCGTCGTTTTCTGTATTTGTTGTTTAAATACAGCATATTGATCATCATATACTGAGATACATATAGTTGAGTTAGACCCCGTAACAAAAATGGTCTAAAAATAACAACTTTCCCCCCTCCCCCCATTTGTTTGTTATTGAAAATAATAAAACCATATTTATATTCTACTCAACGAGCACTACAGAATGATATGTATGTTCATAAGTTTGAATGTCAAAATGACACTGAAATATTTCTACGTATGAATATACGTTGAAAATAAAATTGTATTGTTTAAGCAAGTTAAAAGTAACGACACCTTTTTGTTTATCGAATTTATTTAAATTCTTTAGAAGAGGTGGCTTGAATAAATTTCGATTTGTATCCGATATTCTTACATACGCCCTTAGCGGCATAACAGATCAGAAAGAATAATCCAAAGCATTGAAACCAACACTTGGCAGTGGCCAAGCCAATGTTGAATAACTTGTCTCGCGGGACGGTCCAAGGATCTATTTGAATAATCAGAGTTTGCTAAGTCTGTTGTTTTGGTAATCTAATAGCTAGGCTTTGACGTCTTACAGGCAAAATTAACATAAAGTCGCCTCTTCGCAGAAAACAACCCACAAAAATCGCACCTGCCGAATTACGATTTATTAGCAAATTGTAGTAGAAGTATGTAGATAGAAGTTCGCCTAGATTTCACAAGAATTCGCCTTTAATAATTTTATTGCTTTAAGATCTCTTAGCGTACTTTCACTTATTACATCCCGGATTCAGTCAGCGCGACTGCCGGTAATCAAATCTTGCAAGTAGGGTTTGGAATTTTTGCGTCGGTTTTTGATTGAGCTGAAATTTGGCGTTTATGGTAAAAATTGGATGTCTTAAATAGTTCAAAGTTTTGTATAGAATACTACGGAAAATGTTAAAAAAGAATGTTTAAAACGAGGTATGTACCAGTGTTTAATATTACACGAGAAAATATGAAAAGAGGTTATTCACTTTTAATCGATATTTACATATATATATTATTAACAGATTTCATGCGACATGTACTTACTGTGATGATGATGTGTCATAACGATGGCGAGTGGACATTCGTCGTCATCCAGTATATACTCCGAATTGTCAGTCGTGTCCACCTAAAACAATTTACTTTGTTAAGATAATATTGATTAGGGCAGCATTGATCAACGTGTATGTTTTTTTTTAATTTATGAACCAGATACAGGGTTTTTAATATAAGTAGAGGGCAGTCGCGACGATAGCTAAAGCGACAGAAAAGTTTACCGGGCTGCCATCCTAACCATGCTAATTTAAACCAAATCTCCCCATAAACACAACAAATCTTACTCAACAAAAAAACATATCATCACCAAAAGTTTTATTTATCTTCTATAAGGGAAGGTGACTTGCCAAGACGGGCGCTCCAATGCGAGTGGGAAATCCGCTATATCATGCTTTTTTTTCTTTTTTTTTATTATTTAAATGAAGTGAAGTCTGATGTTTACCATAGGTATTGGTAATGTTATTATAGGTATTGTTAATGGTGTAAATTCTAGGTGATATTTGAGTATTCATTTATCCAATTTTCTAATAAATCAATTTTAAAAATGATAGTAGGGGAGCCCAATCAGGGATTTTAGGATTTACTCGAGCGCGGCAGAATAACATAAGGAGGCGACCTTGCACCTTGTGAAGTACGTACTCCCACCATACCTGAACCCTTTATAGGGTCATAGGTCTAGGGCAACAAAAAAAAATCAACTATCTTCCATGGTTATTGGTCGCGTCCTTTTGAATCGCCCCGCCGTTAGGAGGGAACAAAGGAAATTGTTCAGCGTCCATACATAGTTAGCCTAAGAACCAACAATCATGAAATATTATTTTCTAGGTTCAAAAGCGTAAGTAAATGACTGTAAAAACAAAGATTATTGACGGACACTTCTGAGAACTTAAATTATTAGGAATCCTTAAAATTTTTTGAGGTTATGTTTAATATTCAATGAAACATAGGTCAACCTATGAATTTAGTATAAACTCAGTATGAAGTGAATTAATATTACAACTAATTCATTTTATTCGGTGCGATTTTAAAGAAGAACTATTAGGAAAAACTTGGTTAGGTAGGAATCATGAATAAAATAAAAACTGTAGTTTTGCTTCTTTTTTGTTGACTATTTTTCACATGGTTGTATCATATTTGAATATTGTATTTATTTGTATATCACATGTATATTGTGTAAATATGTAGCGTGAATGTGTATCGGGTGTTGTGTTCTTGAATAATTAAGCAGTATGATCCTCTCAGGATGTTGTGGCACTGGTTCACTAGCACTTGGTTATAGGGGCTCTTCTCTTTGGTAACATCGATGGCATATTAGATAGCCAAAATAGTTAAATTTAAGGAAAAACAATCGCAAATAAACACACAACAGGTAATCCGAAACGAGAATGCACTTTCCGGTAGGTATAATAAACTACTCTTTGGAATGTACGAATGCCACAGATTACTACGAATGCAAACTGCATGCACCACAACCACAGAGTAACGAGTTTTATGCCGGCCCTTCACTTGACAACAGTTTGTCCTTGTCATGCTTAATAAGGAATAAAAAGGACAGACTGATGTCATGTTTTAAAATAGCAAATACGAATAGCCAAGTGAAGTGCCGGCATTAGGAAAAAAAAGTGTTTTGTTTGCAGCGCTGCCATAGATTATACACATAAAATGGTATTTATTGTCTCAGATTATTTTTTAACTTTTTAATTTAGCTTACTTAACTGAAAGTGTCCGTCACAATCTAAATACTGATAATTATCGCAAAAAATATACTAAGAATTATCATAAATGCCAAATTGGTGTTGGTTCTTAGGCCAATTTTAACATTGTCCTTTACTGACATAGAATACCATTACTATGAAAACAATAAGTCAAAATTTATTGTTTGATTGAAATCAGTTAGCAAAAATATTTATACACTTTCAAAGTATGTAAATGTTTCTTTTTATTAGGTATACTAACATGATTCATTAACATAAAGGAAGAATAAAATAAGGTTATATATCAATAGAATCTACGATTGTATCCCCTCGAGGCGCAACACAATCGAGCCATGTGCCACTATAGCAGTATAACTGCACAATACCAAATGGACACATTGCAGGCTTCCCACGGCCTCGACCGTTTGCCGAGATTATATAATCAACCGTGTACACAAACTATTTACGCTAAAAAACAATAAATGGTTTCCATTCCGTTAACTCAACTTAATGGGGTATATGACAAGTTTTTGAAAGCGATCTTCGTAATTTACAAGTGTTTATGGACTTGAGAATATTTTGATCATTTATGATGTGAACTTCAGTAAAAAAGATATGTAATAAAAAATATGTTTCCAAAAATATGGCGCGTAAACCTTTCTCTCAGCAATACGTGTGCGGACATTTATATGTTTATATTAATATATTTTTACTATTTAAGATGTGTCAGGATGTTTAATTGATCAATTTGCAATTCGAGTGCTTTTATTTGAAGCAATCTCTTTATTTAAGACATATAAAGGTGTTTGAATAGTTAAATGAGCAAATTACGACGATATTTTTATTTGAAAAAGTCTCCTTCTGCGAGAGGTGATGTACTAAGTATTGTCTTCAGGCAGAATAGCACTAATGCGTAAGTGTTGGAACCGGAGGCAGCAAGTTTACTTCCGCCAAACCATATGTCAGGGTGTGTGTGGGTGGGTTTGGATAAGCCATAGCATTATAAAATGGACTGAGTGTTTTTAGCTGTTATTTAAAACAAAAATGTGTGATGCGCGATTAGACAGCGCATATTCTTATGGCTCCTACACACAATGCCCGCGGCACTAGGACGTGCCGCAGAAACTTATACAAAACCGTTGCGCATCACTACCTCTTGAATGCCGGGAGCGAAATGTCCTAGCAACCCTCGCGGTACGCCCGCCATGCCTGGCAGCAATGCCAGATGCAATCTTTAAGAGCCCTTTCACATTTTTTTGCAAAAAATCGTAATTTTTGAGCGCTTTACCCCCTTTGAAAAGATTTTGACTATTTCCAATATTAGATAAGTAAACATTAGATTTATTCTTCCTATTGTAAGTTACTGTAGAATATTTGCAAATACTATTTTCCTTTTTTTATACTAATCGTTCTACCGCAGCTAGCTTACGGAAAAAACGATAATATGCACAACTTTAAACGCCTGAATCTCTAAATAATGTTCAATAAATTAGATCAAATTAATGACTACAACATCAGAAATATGTTTTTGTTGTAACATAATGTATTAGAATTATGATTTTCCATCTCATTAATTATCAAAAAGCATCTAACCTCTGTGAGTTTTCCCAAAAAATAATGCAAGTTTACCTCGTATTTTGATATTGAATTAAATAGAATTACTATCAAAAACTTTCATAAAACTAATCTACCATCATTGAACTACTGAAATATGTATGTTTTTTTTATATATATTTTATATATATTATTTTTATAATTAGTTCATTAATTATTGTTTTATAAGACTCGAAACATCACCCGTAAAATGCAATATTACTAGTGCAAATCTACCTACACGCCGATCAGTACGGCAGCGGCGCAATTTTGTAAAAGGGCTCTTAAGTGTCGTTCCGCGGCTTTCCCGGTGGCAAGGCCAGGCCGGCTCGGCACGGCGGGTGTGTTACCACAGAAGGGGAGCTGGGCGGAATTTGCGCAGCGTGCAGAGCTAAGCTGTTTTTGTAGCTTAAGCTATGGTTCTCAAATCTAAGAATTTGTTCTGAGCCATTAAGATTTTTAGACGCTTCTTAGGATTGCAGACGGATTTTTAGATCTTATCGCACAGCAAGAACGGACTAGTGCGCGGAAGGGTAGCTTGGATGATATCTGTCTGCATGCACCACTGCCACATGGGGACGTGTTGCGACGTATCAGTGTGACTTCTGAGATCTCCAGTGGACAAAACCAAAAATATAAAATTTATAATTAGTATTTTTTTTTGAGAAATAATAATCAAATTGTCGCCATATCTTAGGTTTTTTTAAAGGAAGCTGACCCGGCCGGGGCTGTGAAGTGGAGATAGACGGGTTGCAGCTAAATGAATATGAGCTGAACGGAGCTGACAATCGGTATTCGGATATTCATTTGCAATCGGTTAAACTTTAAACTGGGAGCCTACCGCCTATCGGGATTGCTTTGTCTATTGCTACAGCTTAGAATAGGGTATTTGACAAGTTTTAGAAAACGATCTCACGTTATTGACTAATGTTTATGGAGTCCGTAAAAAGGAAAAAAAGGTGGATATTCATCATTCTGTTGTGTATTTCAGTAAAAATAACCAAATCAAAAACTCCATTTTCAAGTTGTCGCCAAAACGTTTTTCTGGACAATATGGCGTCTTACTAGTGTGTGACGTTACACGACTGTTATAAAAAAGTCAAACGATACAATGTAATGTCACTTTAACCGGAAGTTCACTTGCGTGTGACGTCATTTTAGGCTCCGCCAATCCCAAGCTTTTTGGTTCAGGTGACAATAGATAAGAAAACTATTATCTTTTTCGTGGGTTTTTAGTAAAATTATGAATATTTGTTTTGTAAAAATAGTAAAAACACCTGCCAATATTCATTAATAAACACAGATGCTAACAATTGGCACTTTATTTTCAATGCTGTCAAATACCCTATTTCAGTTTTCCCAACAACAGCGTCCTGTACTGTATCATACCTGCACGATGCAGTAGTGGTGCGGCTCGTGGCGCGACAGGCCGTACTTGTCGAGCATCTCCCGCACCACACCCGCCGCCGTGTCGCCGACGGACACCAGCAGCGTCTTGTACGGCACGTCCGGGCACAGCGACGACCCGTAGATCTTCAACGTTCCGCCTGTGCGGACACAAAACAGATGACAACGTTACATACAATCCATGCAGAACATAATGCGAGTTAACGCAGCCCCTATTACAACAATTAAAAATAACAAAGCTGTACCCTTAGCACGAAGCAATATCGAATTCGAATAATTCAATCCGAGCTCGATCCGCGTCAATTTTTGAAGTTATACTTCTTTAGGCGCGTTATGAAAAAATGATGAGAGTGAAATTTTTAGATGCGCGCGCGTCGCTGTAACCCAAAAGTAACAGCATGAAGTTGACCGCGGGTGCGTTATGAAAAAATCATGTGAGTGAAATTTCGAGATGCGCGCGCATCACTGTAACACAATAGTAACACCATGAAGTTGGCCGCGGGCGCGTTATGAATGTTAGTGTTAGAATAATCCACCATTATTAGACATCTGTTCGAAAGGTACTTTGAACGATCCACGGAGCTCCATAAGATGATCGCGTTGTCAAAAACAATGTTGGCACGCTCGTCGCCTCTGATCACTGTTTTCATATTTATAATATTTATCCACATGTTTCTATATAGACACAACGTGTTTTAGCTACTTACAAGTGCTTATTACATATGGACTAATAACTTAAATTCAGTAGTGATTTTAATTGAATATTTTGAATATTTATTTAATTTTTCAAATTAAAACTGAACCTAATTGACTGTGTTAACTATCCTTTTCTAGTCCTTTTATTATTTTATTGTAATTATTAATTATTTGCATGCAATTAAAAAATATTTTTAATGATGCTAAAGAAGTATAACTTCTCACGCGCGTACATAAGTTACACGCATCCATTTTTTTTTAATGTTATGACGGGCATACGAGCAGACGGCTCACCTGATGGTAAGTGATCACCGTCGCCCATGGACACTTGCAACACCAGCCCCTCTAGCATGACCACCGAAACGGGATATGATAAAGCGATATATCGAAATTAACTGTCAGACTACTGTCAAACTCCACTGTAGTCTGACAGTTAATGACGATATATCGCTTTATCATATCCCGTTTCGGTGGTCATGCTAGAGGGGCTGGAGTCAAATGTCAAGAGGTTTTGTATGGAAATTTGAACAGCGCCACAACGGACGTAACGAGAATTAAAAAAAATCCATACGAAAAACTTCTTGACATTTGACGCGTATTGGGATAGAATTTTAACTACATGAAAAGTGCTTATATCCGAATTGTTTGCTAAGTTAAAAGTGTTGTACTATGTATATAATAGAATTCTTCGTTTATTTATTTATTTTATTTATTTATTCTTTATGCACAAATGTACAATGGCGGACTTAATGCCGTAGGCATTCTCTACCAGTCAATCACCAGTTTACTAGTATGACTCGCACTTGGTCGGGGTTTCTTCATTGTTCTCTTTACATTACGATTCAAACTAAATGGCAAACGCAACGACTTGAGCAAATTTTTTACCACGTACGACAAAACTATAATATATGGAATATATTGTCGCCAGCAGTGTTTCCGGACCAATACGACCCAAAAACCTTCAAAAAAAGAGCGTACTCCTTCCTGAAAGGCCGGCATCGCATTTGTGATACTCCTGGTGTTGCAAGTGTCCATGGGCGACGGTGATCACTTACCATCAGGTGAACCGTCTGCTCTTATGCCCCCTATAACGTAAAAAACTTCACAGCCATCGTTAAGTTTGAATCTCACTGTACATAATTATGTCCAGTCCCCTTCTCTGTACGGGCGCCACTGTTTACGTAAATGACATAGAAAATATGACGTTCAAATTTTTACTATATTCATAAAGATCCTTGTCGCACTAGACAGCAGAACTGCTGCAGCTTGAACTTGAGTTTCTGCTGGTGGTGTTTCTGATGCTGCGCGTAAAGGAAAAGTAACACAAACTTTTTTTTATGTTATAGGGGGCATACGAGCAGACGGCTCACCTGATGATAAGTGATCACCGTCGTCGTTGTTTTGGTGGTGTTGTGTTTCTGTCGGTTAGATAGGTTCCAGGGCTCTACTGTCAGGTGTTACGTCCCTACGTCCACGCCCTAAATCCTGGTAATACTTGGATCCGCAACAGATATCGCACACTTTCAACCACCATGGAATCCAAGTAGCTGAAGGGCTGACGCTATCTCACTGCTCACTCCCACATGGTGAGAGCTTCTTTATAACCATTTCCTAATTTCCCTAGTTTCTCGGGGAATTTTTAATGAAGAAGAAAGCAACATAAAACCCTATTCCTTACTGTGCGACTTAGAGCGACCAGAACCAAAAAGCTCGTCTTACTGCTTCTCTAGCCCGGTATCACCCAAAGACTAAGCGAAAAATACTTAGAGTATCGGCGACGGCTCATGCTCAGGGGCGCCCCAAACGACCTGTGGTAAGCCAAACGCTGAGATGTCGCCGGTAGCTAGCACATCGGCAGAACCGCTTAAGTCTTTTAAGGATGCCCTTACAGGGATCCGCAATAAAGAACCCATGACGGACGACCAATTCGAGCTGGTCAAACGCAGCATCCTCAGGGCGGCTATTGACGATCATGAGGTTGGGGCGAGACCCACTCACATTTGAAGGCTGTACATTCAAGCCGGGTTAACTGCAAATCCTCGTCAAAGACGAATAAATCAAAGACTGGTTTAGCTGAAAAGTGGGGAGTATTAAGCTTGAGTGAAAGTGAACTGCCAAAGACCAAGGTAGGTATCCTCACTGTACCCAAATCGGAGGCCGACTCTCCAAAGGATGCACTGCGTCTTTTGGAGATAGAAAACGCCCTGAGGACCTGCATGTGGAAAGTGCTGAGCGTCAAGACAAAGAGGAACGTATTTACCATCGCCCTTTCGGTTGCCGATGCCTCTATTAAAGCCCTCTGCAGGCTGGACTTCAGGTCGAGACTCAGCGTCAAGAGGGTTCGCATTCGAGGGGAAAATTCCCAACGAATGCGGTTGAGAAAAACAGGGCAGTGGACAAGCTCCGCTGGAGCTCGGAACCTGCCTCCGCCTAAAACTCCTCGAGTGGAACCTTCGGCCTCAACCTCGGGAACTCAGGCAAAACCCCCCAGTGCGACGTCTCAGTCCCGAGGGGCGGCTTTCAGAACTCGTCCTGTAGGAGGGCTCTAGACCGAAGCAGGTGACGAGGATTACTTACAAGGCTAAATGCTCTTTCAAACCCTCCTCAAAGCCAGTTAGCAAGCCATAGAATGTCCTTTGCACACCAACACACGTATACACACAATGGCGCAACAAAAACAAACAACACAAAACATAAAAACACAAAATACACAGACGTGGTTCAAATTAATTTGCAGCACGCTAGAGCTGCTTCCGCGGTTTACATCGCTCTCATCCAAAAACCGTGGTTGGCCAACAACAACACGGTATCTAGGCTAGGTTCTGCTGGCAAGGTAATGTATGACACATTGGTCAGGGGATTCAAGCCAAGAGCATGTGTCCTATTCAACAATAATGTTGATTTCTTACTCGTATGTATACCAGATCTATGCTCTCATGATTTGGTGGCAGCGTTTGTAAACGTCAGGGGCGGGTGCGGGCGCCTTATAGTGTGCTCTGCTCATCTCCCCGGCGACAACAGCGACCCGTCTGAGGAGCTGGCGAAAGTGGTTGAATACGCAAACAACCACAACGCCGAGCTTCTCATCGGATGCGACGCAAACACGTATCACACCAATGAGGAGCATAACTAGGTCAGCAAATCAACAGTAAAATGATCTAATAATCTTTTTGATTAATATACTTCTTAAATCATAAAAATCTGTTAATTCGTTACGATTTTATAACTAATTTTATGGTAACCTGCTGCCGAAACGTCATAGAACTCGATCGTGGTTCACTCCGGTTGAACTTCAGTAGCGTCTTGTTTTCAATAAGGGATGTAAACCGACATTCGTGACTAGATCGAGATAAGAATTTCTCGACGTGACTCTAACAACTTGCAATCTAGCCAGAATGCTTAACGACTGGCAGATTAGTAATGAAGCTTCTATGTCTGATGAACAAACTGAACACGTCAAATATGTGTGAAAACATTACTTTTAGAGATGCTAAGGCCACAGACTGGCAACGGTATAGGGAAAACCTCCGGGATAGGCTTAAAGACATTCCTGAAACTATTCGGTCTCTTAAAACACTCAAATATGCTGTCGATGAAGTTACTGAAGCCATAACAGCCTCCTATGAAGAGAGCTGCTCTCTAAAAACCAAGAGAAATTACCATGGTGGAATTTCAAGCTGAGTGTATTAAGAGAAGAAACGCATAGGCTGTTTAACAAAGCCAAAACTACCAATGATTGGGGACGATACTTAAAGGCTCTAACAACCTTCAATAAAGAAATACGAAAGGCAAAGAGACTTTCATGGAGAAAGTTCTGCAAGGAAACCACCAAGTCCCTCAAGGAGCAAGAATTCATAAAGTTCTCGCTAAATAGCCTACAAATCCACTGAGACTTCTAAAGAAACCAGATGGAACGTTTACTGAAACAGCGGAGGAGACATTGGAGCTCCTAGCCTCAACACACTACCTAGATCAGTAGTGGAATCTAAAGCCACCTTAAGTTCCTCACAAACGCCTCTGCAGGCCTATAAATGAAGACTGCAGAAGAGCAGCAAGGGCCGCCTCCAGTACGATACCTCCAGTACCAGGTCTTTCAGAGATAATCGGAAACGAGAAAGCTGATGAATTAGCAAGAGCAGAGGCACAGGGGCAATAGATAGGACCAGAACCTTTCTGTGGCATCCCTAGAAACCATGCTATTCAAAATTCTTAAGGGCGATCTTCTAAGCGCATCGAAAAAATACTGGTTAAACCAACCAGGATTAGAGCAAGCTAAATCACTAGTAGAAGGTTACTCGAAAACACGGACTGTTGAATTAATAGAACTTAGCAGGCCGAACACCCGTGCTATCGTAAGAGCCTTAACTGGACACTGCAAACTCAACAGACACCAATTTCATATGAAATTGAGTGAAATTGATGTTTGCAGATACTGAAATCAGGAGCTTGAATCTCCAAAACACCTTCTATATGAATGTGGGCCTCTCATCCACAAACGTAGTATTCATTTGGGACGACATATAATACGCCCAGAGGAAATCAAATCTCTAAAAGTTAGAAACATTTGGAGCTTCTTGGAAGCTATCGGGCTAAAAGAGATACTTTAACTTGGTAGCGAGTCACAATAGATCTTATAGGTCGCAGTGACTACAGTCCCATTAGGATTGCATAGCCCCAAAAATCTAAAATGATAATAATAAGGTGCATTGTATACTTGTGTCCGGTCCCCCGTCTCTACTGCTGAACTTCTGCAAATTGCACTCAAGTTTCATGGCAGGATTACTGATGCTGAGCGTGAACGAAAACTTACTTGCACAGTACACATTTTTGTATTGACAATTGCTACTGCGCAGGCTTCGTTATCTATGGTTTATGCTCTAGGGTACATTGTATACTTGTGTCCGGTCCCCCGTCTCTGCTGCTGAACTTCTGCAGCTTATGCTAGAGTGTCTGTTGCTGACGGCGACGCATCACCACCTCGGTGTTGCTGATACTGCGCGTGAACGAAAACTTACTTGTTCAGCCCACTATGCAAAGTTAGTTTTCATTCGTCTTTTATTTTACATACATAAACGTCAATTTTTATGTATGTAAAAGGACTACTGTGCAGGCTCCGTTGTCTATGGTTTATGCTCAATATACTTGATGGGTTATTTACCTGTGTCCGGTCCTCCGTCTTTACTGCGAAACTGTTGCAGCTTACGCTCGAGTTTCTGTTGCCGTCGGCGACGCATCACTGCCTCCGGGTTGCTGATGCTGCGCGTGAACGACGTTTCCGGCAGTTCTGATAACGAAAAAAAAACTCCGGTCAAGTACGAAGTCATATTCTACTCATTAAAGGTATTACAATAAACAATATCTTTGTATTTCTCTACGTAAGCCTCTTAGGGCGTGTGCTGCCTTAAGCGGGTATAAAATGACATGAAAATGCACGCGGAGTGGACGTCCGCTTCGTGCTCCCGCTTAAGACAGTGCACGCCCTTAGAGTATTTTCAATTGTAGATGCTCTAAGTAAACCTAGTAATAAAACATAAAAATAGGAATTAAAGTAAGGTAAGTAAGTAAGTAATAGGAATTAAGGTAGTTAGTTATTTTTATAATCTCTCTGTATCTAGCGTGATGTATGCAGGATGTGCATTTTTTGATATATTTCATATCTTATTCGTGTATCGTAATTCATGATCGTGACAGTATATAGGTAGGAAGTAGAAAGCCATTATAAAATGTATCACGATGTCATTTTGTACATGCATAATGCACCTCGAAACTGTTTTAATCCGAACATCAAAGATCAGTCAGGTGCTTCGTCAGGATTATTTTTACGTACCGATAACCTCAATCAGATGCTTAAAAAATTACAGCATTGTTTAGCAAGGTTAACTTTTGTATCAATCAAAATCAGGCGTATCATATTGGTAACGCATGTCGTGACTAAGAACGACATTTACTTTATAGAGATCCTGGTAATCTTTCCACGTGATTTAAAAACGTAACAGATAGACATACAGACAGAAAAAGTTAATTCATATCGATTATATCAGTATAGATAAAATGGACAAAAATTAGAGTCCGACCGAAACTGGTTTTCCGGCCGAAACCGAAACCGAATTTTCGGCCGTGGCTTCAGTTTCGGCCGAAACCGAAACCGAAACTCACGTGGTCAAGATTAAAATTCCTTAAAATACTGAAATTTGGTGCATTTTACCCATTATTCAGCATTAATTAGGTCATGACATGGAAACACAGTATATTAATTTTGTTGTAGGTAATCATTTATTAAATATAAAATAAAAAAATATTATTAATAATATTTTTATTATTTTTTCAAATTAAGTTCTCATAATTTTTTTTTTATCAGTTATCAATAATCAATTCATAAATTGTTACTGTTTTATTAAATACCCATTGGTATTTTGAAATCTTATTAATTAATACTTTGGTTTGTATTTGTACTTAGAAGAATCATCAATCTCTTTTATCTCAATATAGGAAACTGCACTTCTCAATATAGGGATATGGACTGCTGTGCAAGAAACGAAGTAAGGCGAGCGTGCACGACAACTTCCGAAATCAGTTTCGGTTTCGGCAAAAGTTTCGGCCAATTTGGGCCGAAACCGAAAGTGCCGCCGAAACTTAATTTTTGGCCGAAACTCGGCCGAAAACGAAACCGAACCTTCGGTCGGACACTAACAAAAATACTTTTGGTATTTCCAACCATGTCAGACACCACCCCACACATCCTATCATCTGTCATTGCTTTTATAACTATTGAGGAAGTTTCATAAAAATATCTCTATTTCAGACAAAAGCCGACTCGAGATGGATCGCGGTATATCACGTATCAAACGACAAATATTCTTTTGATCACGATATACGTAAACGTAACACGTAACTGATATAAGGACTATAAGAATTAACATTAGAAGCACCTACCGTGAACATATTCATGTCACGTCACGTCCCTACTCAGAGTTACCAGATTTTATTTTTGTTAGGTCGATTCTTTCGTCAAAAGCGGGACATAGTAAAAAAACGTATATAATCAAAAGTTATTGATTATTTACCTTCATTACGCGCGCATTAGTCCACACTTGTTTGTGCCACCCGCGCTTTCTCAGTACGCTACACGCAAGGTCGAGTTATTCCCGAAAAGCGGGTTTGAGCCTGTCCCGCGCGGTTGATTAAAAATTCGGGACGTCCCGCTAAAATCGGGACGTCTGGCAACGCTGTCCCTATTCCACATCTCGACACAAACGGAGAGCGATTTCATTGTAATATAATATGATAGATACTACTACACGATACATACTTAGGATACGAATACGGTTTGCCTGATTTTGAACGTTAGGATGATGCAAGTGGATACGGCTCAAGAGAAACTAAGGGTCAATTCACACGTACCACAACCACACCACAGCCACAACCACACCACAGCCACAACCACACCACAACGACGTCATGTGGTCGAGCGTATATTTTGTATTGAAAATTAATATTACAATTTACACGTACCACATTTTGCCGTTGTTATCGACCACCTGTGTAATACGACCAGATCGCAACCACATCGCAACGGCAACGCCACCACCGGCGGCGGCACCGCGGCCACATAGCCACGACATGACGTCATCTTTCCTCCATGACTACGTTCAGTCAAGCCGTGTTTCCTCTACGAAAGCCGGAGTATAACTGCACATGACCACGTGGTTACCACGTCGCAACGACAGCGACACCTCAATCACATCGACATTTTGTCGGTACCAGGGGCCCAATTCTCGCGGCGTAGATATTATATCGGCTTCGAGATAATATCGAAAGTAGGGATATCTATTGAAAATATCTACTGATGGTAAAAAATGCTATTCTCGTGGATTTTCGATATTCCAATGATATTATATCTATCGTAGATATTCTTTCACTGCCGAATGCGTTCCGTTTTTCTCGATTAAGTTAACATCATAGTCTATATAAAATAATAATAAATTAGAGCAGAATTTTACAAGCAACAAAATGATATTTTATGAATTCCATTCATATTAAATATGAGTATACATTTTCGAGTATAAGAAATCTCAACTTTACCTAAATTGTATGCGTCTAAAATTTCTACGTTATGTATAATGAAACGTCAATATTATTTAAGAATCTCCTTTTTCAGGGAAGGCAAAGGGAACAATGCCCATACAGCCTAGTCTTTAACTATATTAATCTTCTTTTTTTTACATTCGAATGTCGGTGTGACGCATTCTGATGTTTCTTGGAGTGTTTGGCACGAAATTTATGGAGTTGGCTTTTTCTCTAAGCTTCTGTGAGGTAGTCAACACTACAATAAAGTTCTCGCGTCCACTTGACCGGAATAGCGTATATTTTAAAGATTCCACTAATTCTTCAGTTGCGCAGACGGTTGTAACACCAAATCACACCAATTTTATTTCACAATATTCACTATGAACGAATTTTAGAATAATTAAAATAAGATGCCAACCACACTCGCAGAAATCCCGCCAAAAACTCGGTATCGTCAATAAGAAAATGGTGTCGATTCGCATGATTCTCTAAACCTAAACGTAAATTTGACAATAGTGTATCCTTGTCATTCTCCATACAGAATGAAAATGAGAGACTGATGTTAAATTTAGTTTTAAGATTAGAGAATCGTGTCAGAATCGATACCAATGTCATTCATAACTTTCTAGATTTCTAACCAAATTTTTGTTTAAACGTAATTTTTTATGAAGTCGGCGTCCCTCATTTCAAATGGGCCCTCTTGCTCTCACAACGGCGGCGCCTGAGCACAGCAGCAGCAATCACGTCATTTATTAAATCATTGACGAAAACATGAATCAACTCATCCATCGCTAATATAAACTGGTTTCGATTCTGGCACGATTCTCTAAATCTAAACTTAAACTTGACAACAGTGTTTCCTTGTCATTCTCTATACAGAATGAAAAAGAGAGACTGATGTTAAATTTAGTTTTAAGTTCAGAGAATCACGCCAGAATCGACACCATTGCTTACCAACTTTTTTATTTACTAATTATTTATGAAGGCAGTTAACAACATCTTGAGGTAACAATAATTGGCAAAGACACACGACAACACAATAAATAATAGGTAAAAAAGTGGAAATAACAAGATTTACTTGCCAAGATCCATAGATATTTATATATCGAAGGCTCTTTACCAGTCGATGTATGTCTACTGATCATCCGTAGATAAATATCTATTGCGACATGGTGAGAATAGGGCAAAAAGGTTTTCCTTCGATAAAAGCCAGATCATTCGATATATATCGAAGGTGATATAATATCTATGCCGCGAGAATTGGGCCCCAGAACGCAACTGCAAAAAGCCGCTGCGACACTATTCACACGTAACCACAGCTTGACCACATTTTGTCGCTGCGACGTGGTGTAGTTGTGGTACGTGTGAATTGACGCTAAAATACTATTAACTACAATATTTATGAAGTCTTTTGTAAAATCTCAATGTACCTATATTTTTTTTTTCGTAAATCGTTCTTTTTGTACGATGCATATGCTTCATAGTGTGTAAAGTAAGCAAATATTGGTGTCGATTCTGACATGATTATCTAAACTTAAACTTAACAGAACTCTACGACCAATAGGAGCGGAGAACCAATGAAAAATGTTGCAAAAACGAGAAAAAATATTCCATTTCTGTGCTGCCTTTGCGTGTTAAAAAGGTAAACGGTTAAAAAGTTCTACAAAAATCAGGTATGACGGAATTGTTCCCCTTTAGAAGTTCTATAAAAAAAGTCTGCTGCCGACAACATAAATCTTTTTTTAAGGGTGACCCACAAGAACCTTTATCCTCAAATTGATGGGGGTGAAACCAAACAAACAGGGCACCTATAGTGTCATTATATTTAATAGAATTGTACACAATTTTTACCTGTGTAAAGTTTTTCCGCAACTGGACGGTTCTCGTCGTTAGTGTCAGACTTTAATCTCGAAAGCTTTTCTTTCTTCTTTAATTCCTTCTTCTCGCGTTTCGACAATTTTCGTTTGAAATTCTGGTCTGCTTTTTCGTTGACTGAAGATAAGGCCACCTGTAAAAGAGAAAACGGTTTTGTATCTCGATGATTCTATTCTATTTATCGTCATCATGATCTATGATGACTTGATTAAAATTAAAAACATAACACGTAGCCTGCTGCATTTATTAGTAAAGGTAATATATAGAATATATATAACGTTAAGTTTTAGGAGACGGTAGAATTTTAACTCAATTTTACCTGTAAGTTGTCCAGAGTTATTTAAAATAACAAAACAAATGAGTTATTAACAAATTTTTTTTGCAGAATACATCCTTCTGGCTACTCTTTATTTTGTGACTGAAACCTGCGCTGCGCATAGTAGCCCTCGTTGCCAAATTTACTATCGCCATAAAGTTTGTTTCCAACTGTAGATTTATGTACGTCGTTGTTGGTCAGGCACTTAAGCAAGAAGCGCCTCTAGCGGTTCTCCTTGTACCAGTTGAGCTGCACGAGCAGAGGCTTCTCGTGCGGCTCGAGACGGCGCTCGTTGTACAGCATAGTTTGTGTCGCACTGAAGATACGTACGTCGTTGTTGGTCACGCACTTGGGCAAGCAGCGGTCCTCCGTGTGCCAGTTGAGCTGCACGAGCACAGGCTTCTCGTGCGGATCGAGACGGAGCTCGTTGTCCAGCAAACAGTTTGTGTCGCACTGTAGATACGTACGTCGTTGTTGGTCACGCACTTGAGCAAGCAGCGGTCCTCCGTGTGCCAGTTGAGCTGCACGAGCACAGACTTCTCGTGCGGATCGAAACGGCGCTCGTTGTCCAGCATAAAGTTTGTGTCGCATTGTAGATACGTACGTCGTTGTTGGTCAGGCACTTGAGCAGGAAGCGGACCTCCGTGTGCCAGTTGAGCAGCACGAGCACAGGTTTTTCGTGCGGCTCGAGGCGGCGGTCGTCTTCCGGCATACAGTTTGTGTCGCATTGTAAATACGTACATCGTTGTTGGTCAGGCACTTGAGCAGGAAGCGCCCCTCGCGGTCCTCCGTATGCCAGTTGAGCTGCACGAGCAGAGGCTTCTCGTGCGGCTCGAGGCGGCGCTCGTCGTCCGGCCCGTGCGTCTCCCACAGCGAGTACGAGCCGAGTGACAGCATCCGCATGTCCGGACGGAACTTCTCTATCAGCGTTTCTGCGGAACACAGTTACAACTAAGTATCTTATTTAAAGTTCGATGTTGCAAGTAGTAAGCGCTTTCGGCTGCGATGGTTGAAGTTAAGCAACTTTGGATAGGAGACCAAAAACTTTACTATTTCGAGCTCCTCCGTGCTTCAGAAGGCACGTAAGTTGTCGGTCCCGGCTGGCCAATCCACACTGGGGCCGCGTAGTGGGTCATGACTCAATCTCTTATTCCAGCCATAGGGACCGGATCCAGCAGTGTGGACATTAATAGGCTGATGACGATCTGATTTAAAGGCCGCATTCAAAGAAGTCAAAAAAATAAGTTTGGCTAAAGTTAATGCTCTCTTATTTGCGATAACAATGGAATGAGACAACTCGTGGGTCAATGAAGCATTAAATGGCGTTTCTGAGTACGGCTGTAAGTAACATTTATTTAGAGTTAGATGTTTCAACTCGGATCTTTTAAGGAATCTGCAAATAGATAAATACACGTTTCCTGACACCACACATTTACTTTGTAATTATAATTTTCACATACATACTCGAACTTGATATTTCGGAACCTTTCCTGTAAACGCGCTATAAAATCGGTTTGAAAAGACATAAAAAAGTATACTTAGTAAATAAAGCACGGCATTCATAATGTAAAACGACTGCCCTAATGTACTGTGATATTATTTAAATTTAATAGAAGGCTAGGTAGTATTTTCATTCATACCCTATCTAATGTACTAAGGTATGAGTGAAGTCTAGTTTGAGATAAGCCACCCTCACCCTGCATTAAGAAGCTCTAGCGATATTCCAATTTCAATACGCCAGGCTTCTCTGTCTGTGTAGGATACTAAGATATATACTTTTCCCTAAGCATAAGTGTCACTTTGATTTTGATGTTTCCCATAGCCTTTTATATTTCTTCAGAAGTTATGATTATGAGCACATCAAATTCTGTGCACAAATTAAAATGAGTGTATTCAACTAAATCTTTATCCTACTTCCTGTGTTCCAAATTATCGTTCCAGATACAAAGAAGAAACGAAATTAGTCCGTTAACTTCATTAACTTCCGTCGGTTACTGATATAACGTGAACTCCTTTAAAGTAAACACATTTATCGGCACTATAACCATAGAGTACTAAATAATTTGCGAAAAGTAACAATCTAAACGTACGCCGCGATAACCTCTCTTATTTATTACTCTGAATCAATTTATAAATTGAGGTTAACAATTCATCATAACAACACAATTAAGTATTTAATATTACTGATGTAAGTGCGCGTTTTCATCCCACCTTGTCGTGATAATGTTTACATTTGTTGAATTAAGAATTGTGGGTCCAGAATAAATAAATGGTTTAATATAAACTTTCTTCGATTGTTATTATATTATATTTAAAACGTGAGTACAGTTTAGTTGCCAGATACTTGTCTAAGCAGCCATTGATGAACTTGCCATACTAGTCATGGCGGCCAGAATACAATTCCCACGTCGCGCGGAGTTTTGACAACATTACACACTGCAGAAAATAATAAAACATGCTATCTAAGACGGCGGCAATTAGTAGTCGGTAACTATCTAGAGGCATGATAAAAATAATTCCACCGTAATCTTGAGCAAAAAATTTCCTGCAACAATAAAGTACTTAGAACTATAACTTCTTTGAAAAATTGGTGCGGAACTTCCCGTCCCAGATGGGACATAAACACAGTAGTCAATGAACTGAACGAATAAAATTTGTTGTTGACAGTCTACTTAATATGGCTACAATTGAATTGAAAAAACATTAATTGGTAGCTGGTAGAAACGACAGCTGTCCATGGAATAAAAACCCGCCAAGTGCGAGTCGGACTCGCGCACGAATGGTTCTGTACCGTTATATTATACCTTTCTTGAAGGTTTTCCTGTAATCCACCAGCAAAGAGCTACATTCCATTTTTTTCAAATTCATACACACAGTAGTTTCGGTGATGAGAGGGGTTCCAGGGCAAATTTCATCTATTTTCTTAAATAACTTTTCAACTAAGTATTCATTTTATATTTTAAATATATTTGAAATCTTCACATTGAGCCCTTTAATTTGATATATTACACGGTACAGTACAAAACACGGTACAAAAAAAAAACTAATTAACCTCGCAAAAATAAACCCTATATTCGGAATTTATTTATTTACTTTATTCGTTCATTCGTATTTGGGTCACAGACATACTGTCTGTGAAATAGGAAATAAATTAAATGTATATACCAAATTTCTACTTGATTGGTTCAGTAGATTCCGAACAAATCGTTTGTAACGTGACAGACAGACAACCGAGTGATAGTGATCTCTTAAGGGTTCCGTTTTTGCCGATTATGGTACGGAACCCTAAAAAGCAATTGTGAAAGTCCTTAACTCCTGGCCTAGCAATCAAATTATTTCTAGGTATCTTTTTGCGTGTCTAGGATAATGCGTGACCGCAACCCTCGCACCCCGGGATTGAGATCCAGCTCGCGAGCTCAATGAAATGACAGGACCCTACTAGGTAAAAACCAGACAATACTCCTGCACCGGTCAACTAACACGCAGCAGTGTCGTACTATTTTGTTTGTACGCTTCTAGGAAAGTTTTACAGGAAGTTTTATGCCAATATTCTATAAATGATTTAGACACATAAAATACAATGAAAATATTCTGACGGACGGCCCGTTTGGCCTGGCCGCTATCGTGTGTATCTAGCAGTCCCATATTCGAATCTCGGAGGAATGAACATATATATGCATTTTCCTACCGATCATGGATGTTTACATGTATTTAATTAAGCATTTAGTTCAAGCTATGCTTAATATGGGACTAGACAACTATTGTGAAATTATATTCAAATCTAAGCATTTTATATAAAAACAAAAACGAGCGAGCCTTACAGTAGTCGCGTATGATATGTAACATTTGAAACTTCACCTTATATGAGTAAAAAAAGAAATAAAACCTAATAGAAATGGAATAAGCCATTTGAACATTATGTTCTAAAATCAAATCAAATAGCGCGCGCTTTAGCGACTTCCTGTAACATACTTCCGTCCCATTTCACGAAATCACTCCCACAAATTGCGGAAAAGCGAGAGGAAAGATGTTACGTTGTTACGTTCATTATTAAAGTCTGAATAGATTGATCTATTCATATTAATATGCAATAATATTTAAATTTCATTTCCGATATCTGTCCGGGTCTCACCTATAACATCGCTCACTGTCGCATCTGATGCTACACGTATGCATTTTGTAGCTATCTTCTGTCCGGAGTCTTGAAAATAGAAGCGCATCACACCATGGAACTCCAAATTCTGTAAATAATACAAAACATCTTTAGTGATAAGCGAAACAAAAAAAACGCTTTTAAATATAAACGCTTATCATATAGATAACCTTATCTGCTCGCTGCAAAAGAGCACTTTTCCAATGAGTTTTGAGTCATTTCAAACTAACAAAAGGCTAGTTTGATGCTACTTCAACAATTGTCATGTTAGATTTCTTTGTAATTAGCTATTGGCTGTTACACAAAGAGCTTGCTTGCAGTTTTCTTTAAACATTTATCTAACTACACATAATTTTAGCATCAAGGCCTATTTTCTGATAACTATTCCAGGTAAAGGCGCTGTCCCATGACCTGTGTGGTCGCGAGCGACGCCGCGCCGCGCAAGTTTGCCAAACGTTTGAGAACTCTCACTTTGGAGATATAGTATCTATACGTGATATAAATAAGGATGCATTTAGTGATGGCATAACGAATCTATACTTACTGAGACGATCCTTTGTAGACTGGACATTTATTTACTTTCTGATAATATTTTTGGTTTGTGTACATGACACACAGTCAACATTAATCTAATCTAATATCAAAGTGTATGTACGAGATTTCTATTTACCTCGTATCATGTATAGATACTGCTAAATCTTGAACGTTAGAGTTCTGAAACGTTTGGAAAACCCTGCGCGGCGCGGCCTCTCCCTCGACAACACAGATCGTGGGATAGCACTTTAAAACACGTAGCTACAGTGGCATTATATATATTTGTTTAAGTTAAAAATATGACAAACAAGCGTATATCCGGCGATTTTATCTCGGGAAATGAATATAGTACCTAGAACCATCTCACGTATTTTGAAAGATGACTCAGGACTTGCAGCCTATGGAGACGCTTTAGTCATTATTAAACTGATAATTTAAAAATGAATAGACACTCACTCAAGACTCACTTTGTTTTTTACTATTGAGCAATGTTTTAACAAGCTGAATTACTGAGTTTATGCTCGAAGCTCTATAGCAGCTTTCAAATAGTCAGCACAGTACAGCGTGGACAGTTATCAGTGATGGTTTGGTGGAAAGGGGCAGTTAACTATCAAAGAGTGACTAAGGCATATCTTTGTCAAAAAGGTGTCAAAACATCAGCACAATTGTATCAAGTTGTTCTTGAAAAGGTGGTTAAGCCTCTTAACAACACTATGTTCCATAACCAAAAAAGGTCCTTTCAGCAAGACTCAGCTCCTTATAGTAATCTGTAACCTGATTATAAAGCGCGATCCACCCAAGCGTGGTTGGAAGCGAACGAGTTTGACTTTATCAGTGCTGTAGACTGTTCCGTCATCTAGTCCTGATCTTAATTCGCTGGAATATACGCACGTAGGGCGTACCAGGCAGCAGACGGGACTCGAACCCGCACCCCTCGCAATCCGGGCGAATGCACTGACTAAATATGCTACCGCGGCCCTCACGGACCGCGTCGAAATTCTTCTAGCCATTCTTAAGCTGCAAGGCAGCGCCATCTCTTCGCAATATAGGTAACCCACAATGTCAAATGAATACTTTTACAAATATTAAACATTTGAAAGAAGAAATAGCAAATATAGTTAAAAAAAATATTATTTTAAAGCATTTCAGGTCAGTGCATTCGCCCGGATTGCGAGGGGTGCGGGTTCGAGTTCCGTCTGCTGCCTGGTCCGCGTGGATTTTTTTCTAGTTATATTTTCTATAGATTTAAACATCAAGCAGTTACATGCTTTAAAATAATAAAAATTATAACAATCAATTAGATTGGCAGTGAAGAATTTTCCCGTAGAAAGAGTGTGTGTTTCTTTCAATTGATAACAGGCCTTAACATTTACTTTAAAGGATTCAAGACAATGGAGATCATTATATACCTAGTTAAGTACGTATAAACCAATAAAAATGGATTATATGTATAAAAAAATACACTAAGTTCATATCAATGTAGTACCGTAGTAAGCGATAGATATAATATAATGTTAGGTTACTATTATACGAAATTATTGAAAATGATCTGTTATTGTTATAATAATCATAACATCTTATTTATTATTCTCCGTGAGAGTGCAAACTAGGTACTTTCTAAGTGCAACTATCGCCCTATCACGTAAAATCGAAAACGATATCTCTAAATTAAGTAAGACAACCCTAGTGACACGAATACAAATTACGTTAAGTTAGTGTGTTCATTCATGTTACACGCTGACATGTGAGTCCTTCACATTAAGCCGATTGTAATATTCGTTAGTGACTCAAAGTCAGCTAAGGAAATTATTTGAACAACGTTAATCATAATAATTTCCTTAATCTAAATAAGGTAAAATATTTACGGTTAAATATGTATAATGTGGTCAAACTGTTTTTAATTTATCAACCACAAAACTAATTGCTTTTTCATTCATTTGAAAATGTCAGATTAATGGTATTAATTAATTAAACAAAGTAAATTCTGCTTTGGAATATAATTAATTTTCTTTTTGGATTAAATATTTTTTTACATCACAGATAAGTTTTAAATAGTAAAGATAAAAGTGATAAATCCGATCAATTTTATTATCACTCCATTTGTTTATGGTGCTGTACTCAAAAGGTGACTACTGAAAAGTACTGAAAACCCTATTATCCATCTGCCAGCGGGCAAGTTGGTAATTTGCCCAAATTTTAAAATATTGTGTTTCTCTAATGGTGGCCACTCACCAGCTTGATGAAATAGGCTTGATCAAGCCAAACTAACCGTGTGTGTGGATTTATTTTTATTTATTTATTTAAACTTTATTGCCATACATATGCAAACGGCGGACTTAATGCCATATGCATATTAGGCATTCTCTACCAGTCAACCTGAACGAGTGTTAGAGACAAATGGTATGGCGATGGGCAAAATGCTTTTTAATTAAATTATAAAATACCATGAATAAGGAAAAATACTACTTATGGTCTAAAATGAATTTTAGTGTCTCCTGAAATATTTTCACTTAGCTTCGCTCACTTTATTATAATGAATAAGCCGATTTATCTATCTATGTCACAAAACGCGCTGAAGTTCAATAATCAATCAAAAGCACGAGAGAGGCAGCTGCGCGTGGCTTTTAATTTTTATCAGGGTACTTTGCCTAAGCCCGAGAAACTGGGCAATCCGGCTAAGCCCAGCCTATCTGGCAACCCTAATGGTTACGTAGACACGCAGTTTTTTTCAAATGGCGCCAAAATGTAAATACATGTGACTAATAGATAAAACTAACTGCATTTTCAAGCCAAAAAGATTTCATTTTCAAATGTCGCAACTCCCAATTAGTTTTTCAATATTTATTTGAGTAAGTGGCCATTCCCGGAGGGCGTCTCTACCCTATACATAAGTTAAGGGCGCCCTTAGGGAAAGGACCGCGAATCCAAGGAAGGGATTCGCGGTCCTGTCTTGTCCGAGGCCAAAATGACTGACTCCATGAGGTGCTGTTAAATTAGATAGATAGGTTAGGTTACCTCGTTCGGTTCGCTGAGTTCGAACAGATCGAGCCGGTTCGCGTTCCATTGCTGGATCATGGTGCGGAGCGCCTCGCGGTCCAGCATGCGCTTGTCCGCCGCGTCCATCCTGTCACCGCATCAAGTCTACCTGGAAACAACGTAAAAATATCTAATGTCAATATCAAAAAGAATAATCTATTTGTGTATTCAACTGGCAATATGTCACTATTTTACCGGACACCATCACCATTCATTCTTTGCTAAGTGATGTGACAATGATTTAACTTAGGTAATTTTCAGATAAGTCCTAAAGAACTAGCTATGCCCGCGACTTCGAGCGGTAGTGGCGTGTTTCTTTCGATGTAATAGATTTCATTGATCGATAGGGTCGAGTCGTAGAGTCGGACTCGCCTACTAAGGGTTCCGTGCCATTATCTGTACAAAATTATACACTATATTATAATATCGAACGAAAAACGGCAAAAAATCAAATCTGTTTTATGGGACGCCCCTAATTTTTTTATTTAATTTATTTTTTATGATACTAATATTATATTTACCAAAAAACCGTGTTTGCATTACCCTTTCACAAACACCTAAACCGCTAATTTTTTTTGTAATATAGGGATCTTGGAGAAGGATGTCTTGGCTATTTTTTGAGTACATTTTGAAACAGGTTAAATATAAGAGTGACATACATAAGAGTTGATGAAAGTATAATTTTGAAAATACCATGATAACGATATTAGTATTGAAAATACAACACTCGTTCCAAAGTAACTACCAACTAGATCTTTCATTCCAACTCATTCAGCAAATAATAGCGTAATAAAAAATAGTGACTCAAACAATCTCTAATACAAGCTACTTCCTCGACACATTAATCATTACAGATTGCTACCTAGAAAACTGTCTAATATTTCATGACTCTTTATTATGAACAATCACTATTGATGAGAACAGAAATCGTGTTTAGAGACCTAATTGAAGAAATGTGAATATGACGGTTACTGACTGTAACGCTAGTAAGTCTTTACTATAATATCATTATCAACTTACAGCAATTTCGATAAGCTAGAGATAAAAAAGTATAAAATCAATAAACGATTACGTACTTCTCATAAAGTTCGTATCTACTTTATAGAGTAGGTAAGTGGATAGTGAAAGTTTGCGTGATAGTAACTTTGTGAATTGGAAGAAAATCACAATTAGTGTAGGGTACCTATTTTACGCATATACGAGCGACGCTGAGAAAATTAGTATGTCTTTTATAAAATGGAAGGTCAGTATTCCTTACGAAATAAGTGAAACACAGAAAAACGGTAAATCAAACAGCAGAGGCAACGGTTTGTTGGGCGCTAGCTAATCAAAAAAGCAGGTCAAGCGGTTTTACTTATCAAGTAGGTACTTAGTTACTTTCAATTATAGGCAAACTGAAATTTGATTACCATGACAGATTTTAAAGTTAACCGCACTGATTAGGAAACATTAAGAAAACCTAATGTAGTTAGTCACCAGTTCACCACCAAACAAAGCAGTAATTTCTCACACTATTACAATAACAAAATTATTCAACTTTAATGAAATTGAAAGCTCTAAGATGACCTTCACAACAAAGTGGCGTGCATGCCCGATTAATAAATTTATTTTCATCATAAATTTTCTATTTAGATTCCCGTTGAAAATGTAAAAGAACACTTTTCGTTTCGTTACGGGTGATGCTACGGGGTTGTTTCCGATTTCCGAGTGCTTTGGATATCTACAGTTGAATCCGTTTAATATGACTCCGCCTATATTGACCAACCGATTATTATTCGGTTTTCATATAAATGACGATCCCCTTGACATGTCGCTTATTATAACCCATTTTTAATAAATTATGTCCGGTTACAATAACCGACATGAATCTCTAAAACTTCGGTAATGTTCGTTGATTCCTGACGACGTTCAGCACGTGGCTCGTTTTTGTTTTGAATCTCAGTGAGCAATTGACACTTAAAAGGTCACGCGTTGTTTTTAGTGCTATTCTGTGAAAACAATGTCATCTCAACGCCGCCGCCAACAATATACTGCTATTACAATAAAATGAAAAAACAAAAGCAGATATAAATTACAGATTCCTTACATTAAAAACTGAAAAATATAGTACATACATACATGTATCGTATGTTCTTATCCCGTGAAATTTTTATTTTACTATGTTTCTCTGTCAAAATATTATATAAGTACATATTCACATTTTTTTTCACAAAACGCTTTGTTTGACGTCCGCTTATTATGAAGTGTTTGTCAATTCCCTTCGATGTCATTATTAACGGATTTCACTGTATATACTAATCTTTACCTAAATATACTATTCTAATATTAAAAGAGGAAAGATCTGTATGCTTGTAACGAATATACTCAAAAAATATTCGACTGATTTCAAAAATTCTTTCGTCATTAGGATGATAAATTTTCCTTGTAACATTAGCCGTGGCGGATCACTGGTTTGTCATATAATGGGAACAGCAACGTTTTCTTATGTTCATTCATTCTGATAGAAGGTGAAAGTGCAAAGAAGATTTTCAAACAATCTCCAATGTTCATTAAACCACAAATAAATACAAATTGCGGAAAGTATTGAAAGTGGGCGGTTCTAGTAAATACTCATACATACTACGCGTTTACGCACACCACACTACACATGCGCTCGTGTTTATAACATAAACATATGGCCCTGTGCTCTGGCGAAGCCAACACCGCACCAGGGCGATGCCGCCGCCGTAAATAAATACACCGGACAAATTAACGTGGCCCCGTTAAAATTGGCATCTTTATGATCGATCAATCGGTACGACTACAATAACTCCGTATAGATCTAAATTTCAGTATCGTCAGA